GCAGTACCATTCAGCCCAGACTTTTTATGTTCCCATCTGTTGTGAAAGTTTTCCGGGTTTTCTTTTAAAGAAGCTTTGATGTTGACCTTTTTTAATCCCCTTGTGATTTTATCCCAGATTTATCTAATTTGGGCATACCCAAAACCCTTCCCTGTTTTAAACTGCTTGTAGATTTTTGGGATATTCCCAAAAAAGGGGGCGTAAAACCAATTTCCACAAAAAGCAATTTATGATGTGGAAGCCCGTTTTTTTGACTACCCAGACTAACACAGTTTCAAAATGATTTGAATCTGATTTACTGCAATTCTACTACAACCCTTGAATATTCTTAAATAACCTCGGGTAGTGCACAACGAAACCGTTTGAAACCAGTCCAGGGTTCGGACCAGTCAAGGGTTAGGACCAGTCAAGCGTTCGGACCAGTCTATCTGATCTGATCAGTGGGTCACTTATTTAAAACCATACTGGTCGGTGATTTGAGCAAACACATGAAGGATCTACTGGAAATTATCTACCCGAGTAATATGTGATTTGATTGATACAAAAGTATAACTTGCGTGTTGAAGAACCGGTAACTGCTGGCAACTCCTACAGTGATGAACGGTCGACCTCAACCCTTGTTTATCAATCGCTGTATCTAGCTTTTCTATTTTTTTTTTCCGTCTCCACCACAATAAATGCTATATTATCACTATAGTTGACTGGTGCAAATTTTGGAGGAAGGACGCTTTTTCTGGAGTAATAATTGCTTCTCGTTGTGTATATTGCGACCGCTGGTAGCTACAGGTTATATGAAATTCACAGTATATGTCTGGTATTTCAAGAAAAAAGAAACTAATGAAAGTCACTCCACTCCACTAAGTACCATTATAATACTGGTTAGTTGCTACTACAACACTGTATTCTGCTATTCACTGGTATCACTAGATTATATGCGAGTACACTAGCAAGCCAGAAAGATTATTAAAAACAGCTGACCTGTGGTAAGTTTCTGGCGACTTCTGGCACCTGCCTCTATAGGCTTATCACTTCATTTACAAATTCACCTGTTTTTCAAATGACACTTTAGCCTTTATCATCAATATACTAGGGAGCCACTGTAGTATACACTATACACTATGTATACTCAATGTTTTCAGGGAGACTTTCTTTCCTCTGACACAAAGTTCAATTATTATTATTTTTTCACACGGGACACAGGCCTATGATTCCCCTCTGGCAGTAAACTCTGCTAGGTAGTGCACACTAATTCTCCTTTTTTGACTCAGTATATAATGTTTTCCGCCCAAGATTGGTTCCAGGCGCTAGAGGGATGTATCGTATAGGATTGATGACACACATTAAAGTTCTAGCACATAAGAGCGACCGTGAAAACACCAGAAAACCCGGAGCACAACGAGGCACGCTGACACTGTCACGCTGACACCTGTACTTCCTAGTACCGAACTTGCACACGAAAATCACTCACAACGAAAGCAAAACACTTGGCAGACGATGCAACATCCCCCCAATGAAAAGCAGGGGTGTCACTAGCACGTTAAGAGACCATACAGTAAGTGTCATGGGCCCGAGACTGTTCAACTGCCTCCCAGCATACATAAGGGGGATTACCAACAGACCCCTGGCAGTCTTCAAGCTGGCACTGGACAAGCACCTAAAGTCGGTACCTGATCAGCCAGGCTGTGGCTCGTACGTTGGTTTGCGTGCAGCCAGCAGTAACAGCCTGGTTGATCAGGCTCTGATCCACCATGAGGCCTGGTCACAACCGGTCCGCGGGGGCGTTGAGCCCTGGAACTCTCTCCAGGTAAAACTCCAGGTAAACCACAGTAGTAACAAGAACTACAGTAACAACCACAACTATTACAATAACAACCACAAGAATAACTACAACAACAATTCAAATTCAAATTCAAAGTTTATTATCTATAAGGATTACAATGCTGAGTTTACAGAATTTGGTTATTGTGTGATTTACATGTAGTAAAATAATAATTACAGAGTGTACCACTAAAACACCTAGCATGGCTAGGCATTTCGGGCAGACTTATATTAAATCTTAAGTTTAAAATATTACAAAATTATGAGGTAAGTTGGTATTATGGCTAAGTGACTAAATACTAGTTTGTGAGTTTAGCAATGTGAATGCTTTTGTTTTGGCACAGTACATAGTTTCCGTATTGGAGTACCACAGGCCAACTTATGACTAGTTAAGATTCATTATTTTGAGATTGAGATTGATATTTCTGTTTATGGTCAAATGGGGGAGTGAGTGTAAGTGTGAACCACCAGGTGGTATTCGTGTAATTAGTTGACAGGGTGTATCAGGGAGATAAGATGTTTTCTGATGGTAGTTTTGAAGGTGATGAATGTGTCTGCAGTTCTAGAGTTTTCAGGGAGGGTGTTCCAGATTTTAGGGCCTTTGACATACATTGAATTTTTGTAAAGGTTTAGTCGGACACAGGGAGTGTCATAGAGATGTTTGTGTCTGATGTTATGCCTGTGGGTTCTGTCACAACTATCAAGAAAACGTTTTAGGTCAAGGTTAATATTGGAATTTAAGGTCCTGTAGATGTAGATTGCACAGTAGTAAGTGTGGATGTACTGAACAGGGAGTAAGTTTAGATCTATGAAGAGTGGGGGGGGGGGGTGTTGCCAGGGATGGGATTTAGTGATTATTCTTACTGCGGCTTTTTGTTGGGTTATTATTGGCTTTAGGTGTGTTGCTGCAGTTGAACCCCAAGCACAGATAGCATAGGTGAGGTATGGATATGTAAGTGAATGGTATAGTGTGAGAAGGGCAGTTTGCGGCACGTAGTATCGTATCTTGGAGAGGATCCCAATCGTTTTGGATACTTTTTTGGTTATGTGTTGGATATGGGTGCTGAAATTCAGGTTGTTGTCGAGGTATAGGCCTAGGAATTTGCCCTCATTATGTCTGGCAATTAGAGTGTTGTCGATCTTAATGTTAATTTGCGCATCTCCTGCTCTGCTACCAAACATAATACATATAGTAGGTTTTGTCAGTGTTAAGCGTAAGTTTATTGGCGGTCATCCAAGTCGATATTTTGATCAGCTCCTCGTTAACAATGGTGTTGAGGGTGGCAAGATTAGGGTGAGAGATGACATAAGTCGTGTCATCAGCAAAGAGAATGGGGTTCAGGTGTTGGGATATGTTTGGAAGATCATTGATGTATATGAGGAAGAGCAGGGGACGAAGGCCACTTCCCTGTGGAACTCCAGTATCAAGTGGCCGTGTTATTATTATTATTATTAAAGATTCGCCGGGATTCTCCCGGCACGGGCCTTTTCCAAGTGGTGGCCCGGCCTTGGCTCCCTCTTTAGGGAGTGTCTGAGACCTAAGTCTCCCATGGGAGGAGGCACAAGTACCTCCTCATCTTTGGGACCAACTGTCCCCAGGCCTAGCCACAATCTAGGCCTCTCTGGTCTACCATCCCCGCCCCAAGGGGGCTAATGGGAATGACAGTCGTATGAGCTGCTGCTAAAGGCTCGGGCTCAGGCACCTACCCTACCCGTGTTGTTGATGCTGTGTCTTTAATGGTGACATACTGATACCTATTAGTAAGGTAAGATTTGAAATATGCAAGCGCATGGCCTCTTATACCATAATGGTCAAGTTTGTGGAGTAGGATGCCGTGGTCTACTGTGTCAAAAGCTTCTCTTAGGTCAATAAAAATTCCTAGTGGATGTTCCTTATTTTCCAATGCTGTGTAAAGCAGATCTAGCATTTTTATGATTGCATCATTAGTGCTTTTATTTTTCCTGAATCCAAATTGGCAGGGGTTGAGTATGTTTTGTGCCGTTTAAAGAATATAGTCTTTGTGACGGTTTCTAAAAGTTTTTGGATAGAAGGTAATTTGATATTGGTTTTAAGTTTTTTTTAAATTGTGGGTCACCCCCTTTTATGTATTGGTTAACCCTTGCCGTTTTGAGTAGTTTGGGGAAAGGTGCGTTTCTAGGGATTGTAAAAAGTAATGAGGAGCTGCAAAGAGGCAATAAAAAAAATAACAGCCGTTACAATAATTACAGTGGACTCCAGCTATCGTAGTTGTCGGATTTTGTAATTTTCAGAATATACCGTTTTTTATTCGTAAAAAAATTTTGGCTCGGTGATCATCATTGAGCTCGGTAATGGGACATTGTCCCAAAAACACGCCACATGGAAACAGCGTCCCGCACTCAGGTGTCATTGCTTTCGCCGGAGCCGACCCACCATTCAACGAACATTTGTAATTCCATTCTTTTAGTCTTGCAACTTTAAATAAGCCACCAGGGCCCAAAAAAATTTTGGGGCCCATCTATCCCTTTGGAAAGGATGGAGAGAGGGGGGGAATGTTCCTTCTTCAGTGATTTGTGATATGTACGTTACTAAGCAGCGGGAGTTGAAAAGACATAGGCCACCCGTGAAAAAAGTTTTTAGCATTAACTGTAGCAAGTAATTTAAAAGTGTTAATCGATAAAAAAAAGGCAGCAAAACTGATCCCCCAAATGTTTCTGGAGGTATGAGGGGTTTCGACTAAACTGCCATCTTGCTGCTGCCATCACCACTATGTAAGGCCTACTTTCAGTGGCCCTTATGCCCAAAAATCTAACAGACAACAACGCTCTCACTACATTTTGAGTATTTTATTCATTCCAGAGTATATGTTTTTGGTTAATATTGTTTTTTTAGTATCTAGATGTGTGCAATATAAATATGCCTTGAGTTGATTTTTGGGGCATATTGAAGGACTGCCCTTTTCATGCTCCTAATACGCTTCCCTGCAGCTGCCCCAATCCTAACATACGCTAGAAACGACCTTGCTGGAACACTTTTTTTTAGCGCAGGGGGCCAGTTTCCCCCCTCAAGTGGTCCCAGTGGCTTTAAAAAAAAAAGAAAGGGAGGTAACCCCCGGAAAAGGACTTGGGACCTGAAGTTTTATGGAAAAGGGGGTTCCCCTTTCCCAAAAAAATTTAAATTTTTCCTCCCCCTTCCCTCCCATCATCTTTAATACACTAAGAAGAGTCTTCAATAAAGGTAAGTGCCATGTTATTATTGTTTTATTCTTCATTCTCATTGTTTTCTGAGTAGGTAAATGTATATTTCATGTAAAAAAATTATTTCTTTTTAATACTTTTGGGTGTCTGGAGCGGATTAATTGGATTTATGTTATTTCTTATGGGGAAAATTAATTCGGAAATCGTCTAATTCAGCTTTAGGCACACTCTCTGGAATGGTTTAATTACAATAACCGAGGGTCCACTTAAGCAAACACTATGATGACCTCCTGGCACTCCTTGAATCACTAAAGACACCCTTCTCCTGCATTATTCTTACTGAGACCTGGCTTAAGCAGGACACAATAGATATCTACCCTCTACCAGGATACACAGCAATTCACAACTGCAGACCAAACCAAGTTGGGGGTGGTATTGCAATCTATTACTCTAACTAATTATCTTGTATTAGCACCACTTGCTTTAGTGATGAATATGGGGAATACATTTTTGCTAATTTTACTGTAAAAAACCTTAAGACACCTATAACAATCGGTGCCATTTACCGGATACCTCACACAAACATCCCAAATTTCAGTGAGAAATTAAAGTCACTGATAACAAACAGACAAATGAATAAGCACCACCTTCTCTTAGCTGGAGACTTCAACATCAACCTTGGCTTACTAGATGATCAGCCTGTAACTGATTTCATCAACAATATGAACAAAAACACTTCTCATACCAACATTAACTAAACCAACCAGGCTCACTGAAACAAGTGCAACCATAATAGACCACATATGGACCAATATACTAGCCCCCCTTAAATCAGGGATAATCACAGATAGCACTACAGACCACTACCCTACCTTCCTCCTGACAAACATTAGTAAACCACCACTTGAATACAACAAAGTCTCATTTAGACTCCATGATGAGGCCTCAATAAGGAAGTTCACAGCTGACCTAGAGACTGTTGACTGGCCTACAGAATTCTCCAAGGCCAATGGTAAATTTATGACTGGACAGACATTTTTCTTAACAAATTACTTAGACTATACAACAAACATTGTCCTATAAAAACGAAACAGATCACAAACAAACAGCTTGGTTGCCCATGGCTAACCAGCACCATTCTGAAATCCATTGACAAGAAACACCAATATGAAAAGCAATATAGACAGGGCTTAATACACAAAGATATTCTTAAACACTATTCATCAGTTCTCACCAAAGTAATAAAAAAGCCAAACAACTATACTACTCCAGAAGATTCACTGACACTAGAGGAGATATAAAAAAGACCTGGAAAACACTTGCACCCAGATCTGGGACCCACAATACGGAAAAAAACAAGAATATTGCTAACTAAACCTAATGAAACACCACATCCACTGCCACAGCTAACAAGAGAAACGACTTTCTTCTCATCCAGTCGGCACGCAATTGATCCTTGTCCTCAAGTTTACCTCTAACCTGAGGTTCCCAGCAGCCCAGTTGATGACCTAATTCAAGACCCACATAACTCTAACAGTGTGGATACCCAGAATGATTATAAATCACCTGCAGAAATCACCGAAAAGTTCGCAAATTACCAACTAATTGACTCGTAAAACTACAAACCTCCTACCGCCGCTGGCCAGCGAAGTATACTCCACAACATCACCCATTCACCCATCGCCTACTATCACTCCGAAGCCACAACCAATGGACAAGGGTCAGAGCAATAAAAGAAGATCCAGTAACCAGCTAAGGACTCCTAACATCAAAGGGTGAGAGCAGTAATAACAAAGAAAACTTGTGTACTGGCAGCCAGGAACACAACCTCATCACCCACTGGCACCACCAACAACACAACCACACGACAGACAACAAAAAACATGGCCGCCGCCACAGTCCAAGAATAACTCCTTACCCAGTAGTTGATGTCAAGAAGATCACCGACCCAGAATAGCTAAACCTTAAACGATTCAGACCAAACGATCACCAAACAAACTCAAGAAAATGCAGGAACTAAAAGCTAGCAATGCAGATTACCTCAGCAAGAATCACTGCTCTTGAACATAAACTAACACTCATAGCACAACAAAGCCAACACCCACACCAGTCCCTAGACACCATCAAACACTCTAAAAGACAAGTCACCCAACTTACTATCAAACATTATAGAGGAAAGACCAAGATGACCAACAACTTGCCAATGTCATAACCAACTTCCAATACCATCATGACAAACAGGAAGCTATCTGACGCTGTTGTAGTTAACAGCACAAATCTCCCAAGCCACAGAGTCCACCCAGAGACCTTCATGGAGACCACCCTACAACTTATCAAGGACCACCTTCGACTTAACGTACGTAGTGATGAACTAAAGATTGCAAACTGATGGCTTACCAAGTGGGTAAAAAAACAGTGCTGTTTAAAATTCCCAAACTAGCCTACAAAGTAACAACCTACTGAAAACATCTATTTCTATGAATCTGATGTTTACGTCAATGAGTGCCTACCAAAACTAGACAAAACCTTCTTTATCGCTAAGAAAATTACGCATGCCCCAAAAATCCACCAGTGCTTTGTGAGGGATGGAAAAATCGCATTAGGAAAACAGCCCTGTGGGAAGAGAATACTTCAATCTCTACAGAACACGACCTTAAACCATTCTAAGTGAGGCTGGACTAACAGAAATCCAGATAAAGTGCAGAACTACCCATAGTCCCACCGTTAGTGTTATAGTGTCATAAATTTTGTGACCTCCCCAAAATTCTAATACCCCAACTATTTTGATTGTCATTGTTGTCTTCAACGCCCATTCTACCTCATAGTCTTAATGTGTTTAATATTCGACAGAATCTACTCCTTTTTTTTACAACTTACCGCTATCACTGTTCTATCTTATTTTAGTATAAACTAACCAAAACTTGTCCACATAATTCTTACCTCACTTTAACAATACTACATGCCCAATTTAATTCTAAAATCCCTATTATTGCCCCAAGTTTGCTTTAAACTTATATTGATCAAACTTATTGTAAACTCTATTAATGAACCATTTTTTTCTATCTTTAAACTAGTATTTTCAACTACAACTTTTATATTATCCTTCGACCATCTTACTAGCATATTATAGCCAAGTCATTGCATTTTTACATTTTTTTTTATTATTCTTTAGCTACCTTAACTTGTGGATTTATAATCCTGTCAATTTAAATCTAGTTATAACTCTAATTTCTTGTAAACAACTTATATAAGACCTTAGTGCCATTCAATTAAGAGTCTTGTGCCTTTTTATATTATTAAGAATTAAACTCAGTTGTTACTATAGCTCATGTAGCTCAATACATAGTCAATACCAATTCACTATATTAGACCATTGTGCAATTACTAGTGAGAGACTGTGCTATTTTTAATTTGTGTTTTTTATATTATTAGATTAAACTCAGTTGTACTATCGCTCATTCTAGCTCATTACATAGTCAAAATACCAAATGCACTCTATTAGACCATAGTGCAATTACTATGAGAGACTGGTCTTTTTTTATTTGTAGTTTTATATTATAGATTAAACCGAGTTGACTATAGCTCATTCTAGCTCAAAACATAGACTCACAAAAGTCATTATATTAGACCCTTATCAATTACAAGTGAGAGTCTTGTTTCTATTTTTTAATTTGTAGTTTTTATATTACTAGTTTAAACCTAGTTGTACTTTAGTTCATTCCTGCACAACACAAGACAACTCAACCTTCATTATGTGTAGTAGTGACTATACTCGTATATACCAAAATGACTCTAGCTAAATATTGTCCTAACTTCCTACCACTACAGATATCAGTACTAGAACTCAAACACACAACCAGGATATAAATAACCATAATTTTAGACCTAGACGATGATTGATCACGTTGACCCGATCTAAACCGCCATAATCGACACCCAATCAAACCTACTGGAAAGTAACTGCCTTTTATTACACAGCATCACCAAGCCACACTATCCTAAACATGCTTAAAAGTCTATCAGTAACTTAACTACAACATCAGGTCCTTAAGCAAACACAAAGAAGACCTCCTAGCACTCCTTGAATCACTAAAGACACCCTTCTCCTGCCATTAATTCTTACTGAGTCCTGGCTAAGCAGGACACAAGAGATATCTACCCTCTACCAGATACACAGCAATTTCTCAAATGCAGACCAAACCAATTGGGGGGTGTATTGCAATCTATTACTCTAACCAATTATCTGTATTAGCACCACTTGCTTTAGTGATGAATATGGGAATACATTTTTTGCTAATTTTACTGTAAAAAACCTAAGACACCTATAACAATCGGTGCCATTTACCGGATACCTCACACACATACATCCCAAATTTCAGTGAGCAATTAAAGTCACTAATAACAAACAGACAAATAAATAAGCACTACCCTTCTCTTTAGCTTGAGACTTCAACATCAACCTTGGCATACTAGATTGATCAAGCCTGTAACTGATTTCAGCAACAATATGAACAACCACACTTCTCATACCAACAATAACTAAACCCCACCAGGCTCAACTAAGACAAGTGCAACCATAAATAGACCCACTATGGACCAATATAACTAGCCCCCCTTAAATCAGATAATCACAGAATAGCAACTACAGACCCCACTACCCTAACCTTCCTCCTGACAAACTTTAGTAAACCACCACTTGAATACAACAAAGTCTCATTTAGACTCCATTATGAAGCCCTCAATAAGGAAGTTCACAGCTGACCTAAGACTGTTGACTGGCCTACAGAATTCCTCCAAAGGGGGTCCAAATGTATGGATACTGGACAGACATTTTTCTTTAACAAATTTACTTAGACTAAACAACAAACATTGTCCTATATTAAAGCGAAACAGATCACAAACAAATGGCTTTGGTTTGCCCATGGCTAACCAGCTACCATTCTGAAATCCATTGACAAGAAACACCACTAGGAAAGCAATTAGAACAGGCTTAATCCACAAAGATATTTCTTAAACACATTCATCAGTTCTCACCAAAGTAATAACGAAAGCCAAACAACTATACAACTCCAGAGATCACAGACATCTAGAGGTATAAAAAAGACCTTGAAAACACACTCGATTCTAGGGACCATAAAACTGAAAAAACCAGAATATTGTCCTAAACTAAGCATAATGAAACACCACTACATCCCACTGACCTCAGCTAACAAGATAAACGACTTCTTCTCAACCATAGGATCTAATCTCGCCAATAAAATCCACATACCAATCCCATGCCGGGACTACCTAGAGGGAATTTCCCGAAAATTATTTCCTTCTATCTTGCCAAACCAACTAGCCACGGAAGTCACCCGAGATTATAAGTCCACTTAAAATAAATCAGGGAATCCGTCTCATGTCCCACCATTACTGTACAAGCGAGCGGCCCCATGTCCTTTCGCATGCTATTTCATTACTTTTCTTTAACAAGTCACTAGAAACTAGCACCTTCCCGGAAACTACTCAAGATGGCAAGGTTACACCAATACATAAAGGGGGTGACCCACAGACTTAAACAACTATAGGCCAATACAACTTACCTTTGCATCCAAAATCTTTTGAAAACTCGTGCACAAGACTGTATTCATTTAAACGGCACAAAACATACCAAAACCCCGCCAATTTGGTTCAGGAAAAAAAAAGCACTAAGATGCAATCATAAAAATGCTGATCTGCTTACACAGCTTTGGAAAATAAGGAAAATCCACTGGGAATTTTTTATGACCTAAGAAAAGTTTTTTGACACAGTAGACCACACATCCTACTCCAAAAACCTTGACCATTACGGTATAAAGGCCATGCCTGCTTTTTTCAAATCTTACCTTACAAAGGTATCATATGTCACCATTAAAGACACACATCAACAACACGGCCACTTGATACGGGGTTTTTCCCGGGGAAGGGTCCTTGGGTCCCCTGCTTTTCCCTCAATACATCAATGATCTTCCAAACAATCCCAACACCAAAAACCCTTTCCCTTTTTGCTGACGACACGACTTATGTCACTCTCCCCCTAATTTTGCCACCCTCAACACCATTTTTAAACAGAGCGATCAAAAAATCGCTTGGATGACGCCAATAAACTTACGCTTAACACTCCCAAAACCCTACTATATTATTTTTGGTAGCGAGCAGGAATCCAAAAATTAAACATTAAGATGACAACACTCAATTACTAGACATAATGAGGGCAAATTCCTAGGCCTATACCTCGACAACAACCTAAATTTTCAGCACCCATATCCAACACATAACCAAAAAAGTATCCAAAACGATTGGGATCCTCCCCAAAGATACGATACTACGTGCCGCAACCTGCCCTTCTCACACTATACCACTCAATTATTTATCCATACCTCCCTATGCTATTTGTGCTTGGGGATCAACTGCAGAAACCCACACCTAAAGCCAATAATAACCCAACAAAAAGCTGCAGTAAGAAATAATCACTAAATCCCATCCCGGGCAACACACTCCCCCACTCTTCATAGATCTAAACTTACTCTCTGTTCAGTACATCCACATTTACTACTGTTAATCTACATCTACAGGACCTTAAACTCCAATATCAACCTTTACCTAAAATGCTTTCTTGATAGTTGTGACAGAACCCACAGGCATACACCAGACACAAACATCTCTACGACATTCCGCGTGTCCGACTAAACCTTTACAAAAATTCAATGTATGCCCAAAGGCCCTAAAATCTGGAACACCCTACCTGAGAAACTCAGAACTGCAGACACATTCATCACCTTCAAAACTACCATTAGAAAACATCTTATCTCCCTGATACACCCCGTCACCTAACTACACCGAATACCACCTGGTGGTTCACACCTTGCACTCACTCACCCATTTGACCATAAAACAGATATATAAATCTCAATTTAAAATAATGAATCCGGTGATACTCCAATACTGAAACTAGGTACTGTGCCAAAACAAAAGCTCACAAGCTAGTATTTAGTCACTTAGCCATAATACCAACTTACCTCATAATCTGTAATTTTTTAAAAATTTAAAGAATTAAACTAAGTCTGCCTGAAAATGCCTAGCCATGTTAGGTTTTTCTAGTGGTACACTCTGTAATTATTATTTTACTACATGTAAACCACACAATAACCAAATTCTGTAAACTCAGCATTGTAATCCTTATAGAGAATAAACTTTGAATTTGAATTTGAATATTACAGCCACAACAAAAGCAAAAACAACAACAACTACAAAAACACCATTACAACTATAACAAGAACCACAACAACAAGAACCACAACAACAAGGAACACAACAACAACAACAACCACAACTACAATAACAGTAACCCACAATAATAACCATAATACAACTACAGCAACAACTGCAACAACCACAGTTACTACAACAATAACAACTACAACTTCAGTATCGGCAGTAACAGCCAAAATAACAGCCACAACTACATTACAACTGTGGAAAATTTTTTACATAATTTTCCTAAAGCTAGAACATATAAATGAATGATATAACACAGTCAATCCTCACTTAACGGCGGGGTTCCATTCCTAATACCAAGTCGGTAAATATTTGAATTCGTCGCAAAATGAGAAGCATTGTATAATGGTAGTGGGTTTGTGACACCCATCTTTGATATTGCTTTAATGTCACCCTTCATGCATTTATAACATGTTTAATATAGTATTTCTAAATGTTTATACAGTAGTGTACTGTATATTGTAATAAACAGTATAGAGGAAATCAGCTCTAATATACAGTGGTACTTCGAGTTTCGAACAGCTCTCAACTTGAACAATTATGTAAGTGTATTTTTGTAAGTGCTTTTGTAAGTGTATTTTTGGGGATCTGAAACGGACTAATGTAATTTACATTATTCCTTATGGGAACAAATTCGTTCGGTATCAGCACTCGAACAGCCTTCTGGAATGAATTAAGTTCGTAACTTGAGGTACCACTGTACATTATTTAGGTATGCATAGTGGTCAGAGAGCCTGTCGTAAGTCCGAGTTGTCGGTAAATGAGTACGTTGCTAAGTGAGGAGAGCTGTAATTGTGTATTAAAATGGTATGCTGTTCGGACCCTTCAAGAAATTTAAGTGAAGGAGGGTGTGGAACAGCGGCAGAGAGTGATGCGGAGAGGAGACGCCATAGTGTATTTAATGTGTGAACACTGGTCTGAATTGTGCAATGCAATCAGGCGTTCCCGAAGTCAGTTGGTGTATTAGTCTCAATCCGTAATTTAGAAATTGCTGATGCATTCCTGTTGAAGAACAGGGATAAATATATGGAAAACCCTTTCATTTTAGCAACAAAAACAGAAAAATAGAAGACACCTATTCTTCCAAGGAGCACACCTTAGCTAAGTGATGCTTATCCATAATGTACAATAGTTTTGCATTGCCATTGTAAATTCTAGCTGTAGTGGTAGCATTAGATTGTGTTTTCCAAAAAATAATAATTATTATCCAGTAATTAAATGATGAGTGCTCATAATATAATATACATATATTTTTTGTAAATGTTGTATACTCAACAGATTCCCCCCCTCTTTCTTTTCAAGTCACAAACCATCATACAGTCCACTCAATTTCTTGTAATTTACCAACATTATTGGTATTAATTTTATGTTGGAACTTGATAGGCCTGACTCTGTACTCCCCTAATTGTGGTTGCAGGGGTCGAGACTCAGCTCCTGGCTCTGCCTCTTCACTGATCACTACTAGGTCCTCTCTCTGAGCTGGAAAAGAGTGTGTGTGGGTCATGGAGGAGAGGCATGGTGCAGCCTAGTGTCTCTAAAATCCCATCTGGCCCTGAGGTACAACTAACATTGGTAAGTACAATAAATTGTTGCTTAGTTGTGCCCCCCTCAAATTATCTGGATGAAATATTTCAGGAATGTACCTGTGAACCTTGTCCCCATAATTTTCCACAACAGTTACAAAAACAATCGCAGTAATGCCTACCATAGCAATAATGGTATTACAACCACAACAGTGACAACAAAAACCATAACAGCAACTACATTACAACCACAAGAACAACTACATTTCAACCACAACAACTACATTACAACCACAACAACTACATTACAACACTAACAACTACATTACAACAGCAACTACATTACAACAAAAACAACCACAATAACAGCAACAAATGATAACCACACAAGCAACTACATTAAAACCACAATAACAACAATTAAATTACAGCCACAACAATAGCACCAAAAAACACCAACAACAACAAAAATTTATTAGTGCAGGTTATATGTGAATAAGGATTATTATTATTATCATTAATTTATTATAATAAAAGACTAAATCATAATGGGTCATTGAGCAGGGGAAATAAACCTCCATAATGCCTGTCATGAAGACTATAGAATTTTTATTAAAACATTTGCTTGATAGAGTAGTACGGCAATCTACCCAGGGGGGTAGATTGCTGTACTTATCTCACTGGCATAACTATCTCACTGGCACTGAGCACCAATGAGATAAGATAAAAAAAATGAAGCAATACTGTACTTGGTATGTACCTCAGTCACAGTGAGAGGAGTCTCTTACCAGTGAGACTTAGGCAACTCCAGAGCGATTAACGGGTTTTCTACCTCTACTGGAGCTCAGCAGTTGTCTACAACTCCAGAGCGATTAACGGTTTTCTACCTCTACTGGAGCTCAGCAGGTTGTCTACCTCTACTGGAGGTGAATGAGTTTTCTACCTGTGCTGAAGCTGGATACAACAAGTTATCTACCTCTACTAAAGCTGGACAGGTTATCTACCTGTAATGAACTACCTCTACTAGAGCTGAACAGGTTGTCTACCTCTACTGGAGCTGAACAGGTTGTCCTCCTCTACTGGAGCTGGACAGGTTGTCCTCCTCTACTGGAGCTGGACAGATTGTCTACCTGTGCAGTAGATGGAGAGATTACTGAAGTTACTTAACAGGACAGGTTATGCACCTGTACTGCAGATTGTCTGGTTGTCTGCCTCTTCTGGAAGCGATGGAGTGTACTTAAGTCGGCATTGTACAAAGATACAACAGTTCATTTATTTAATTTGTTTAATATTTGTTTTTGTGAATTGTGGTCAATGTTAATATACTAAAGCAACTTCTGATGACTTAATCTATTCTTTACTTTTATTTTGATTTAGTTCTTCTCATAACATGCAGTTTGGGTTTCTTCCTGATTAATCTGTGAATTGTAGCTCCTGACCCAGAATAGTGAAGTGAAATGCTTCCCATTTAATAACCTAAGAAGTTAAGATACAAACCTTGCAGAATAGACAGGTTTTGAGCATCCTGGCAAGCCAGTCCTATAACTAGCTGGCTTTGGAGTGACAAGACCTTACATTATATGCTAGGATTGGAATTGAGTAGTATGTTAGTTTTAGGAGTGGGTTGCCTGAATTGCTTTGCATAATATATGGTGGCCTGTGGTCTGGTGACAAAAGCTCTCGCTTCACACAGTGAGGTGTCCGGTTCAATCCCTGGCAAGGGTAGAAACACTGGTTTGTCCATGTTCAATCCATCATAAAGTGGGTACCTGGTGTTAGTCAACTGGTATGGGTCTCATCCTGGACAAAATTAACCTAATTTGTCCAGAATGCTCTGCACAACAAGTGGCTTTCTGTGTAGTAGTATGTCATTACTGTCAGCTAGGCATGTATAACCTTGTACATGTACTTGTAGAAATAAAGATGTGAGGTAAAAGATAAAGAATCTAACACAAATTGGGAGTTGGCACAGTTTGCTCTTTGCTGATGACTGTGCTTTTGGGAGATTCTGAAGAGAAGTTGCAGAGGTTGGTGGGATGAATTTGGTAGGGTATGTAAAAGAAGAAAATTAAAAGTGAATATAGAAAGAGTAAGGTGATGAGGATAACAAAAAGATTAAGTGACGAAAGATTGGATATCAGATTGGAGGGAGAGAGTATGGAGGAGGTGATTGTATTCAGATATTTAGGAGTGGACATGTCAGCAAATGGGTCTATGAAGGATGAGGTGAATCATAGAATTGACGAGGAGAAAAGGGTGAGTGGTGCACTTAGGAGTCTGTGGAGGCAAAGAACTTTGTCCATGGAAGCAGAGAGGAAAATGTATGAGAGTATAGTTATACCAACACTCTTATATGGGTGTGAAGCATGGGTGGTGAATGTTGCAATGAGGAGAAGGCTTGAGGCAGTGGAGATGTCGTGTCTGAGGGCAATGTGTCATGTGAATGTAATGCAGAGAATTCGTAGTTTGGAAATTAGGAGAAGGTGCGGGATTACCAAAACTATTATCCAGAGGGCTGAGGAGGGGTTGTTGAGGTGGTTCGGACATGTAGAGAGAATAGAACAAAACAGAATGACTTCAAGAGTGTATAAATCTGGAGTGAAGGGAAGGGGGGGTAGGGGTCGGCCTGGGAAAGATTGGAGGGAGAGGGTAAAGGAGGTTTTGTGTGCCTTGCACTTCCAGCATGCGTGAGCATATTTGATGGAATGAATGGAGACAAATGGTTTTTAATAATTGATGTGTTGTTGGAGTGTGAGCAAGGGTAGCATTTATGAAGGGACTCAGGGAAACCGGCAGGTGGGCTTGAGTCCTGGCGATGGGAAATGCAGTGTCTGCACTCTGAAGGAGGGGTGTTACTGTTGCAGTTTTATAACTGTAAAGCACCCCTCTGGCAAAACAGTGATGAAGCTAATGATGATGGGAGTTTTTTCTTTTTTGGGCCACCCTGCCTTAGTAGGAATCGGCGGATGTGTTCAAAAAAAAAAAACTATTATATTAAGTGGCTTTCTGTTGCATATGTATTTGTATCAAACTGTATTTATATTACAGTTGTATCAGAGCTGTAGCTAACGAACTGTAAACACTCAATTACGTAAATTCTATGTATATTTCTTAGAAATAGGGATTTTGATGTAACCATGATATGAGATTCATCAGTAAAGACTTGCATATGTGATCAGTGATGACCCATGCTAACATTCCTAGTGTATAAAAATTTCCTAGTTGGACAAATCTTATTAGCCAGCATGGTGCAGTGATTAGAGCATATTTATGTATGAAGAAGTGCTTGAAGGAACCAGAGGTTGCATTGGCAAGGACACCACAGAAACATAACTGTAGTGGTGTGGTAAAAGTGATGTAGGGGCTTGTGGAGAGCCTTGTAAACTTGCATAGTTGTGACTGCCTTGCCAAAGTGTAGTATCTGAAAGAAGGACTTGAGGGCCAGTGGCAGAGTGATACTGAAAGCTGGAAAGCTGCTCCTCCACAGGTAGCCCTGAAAGGCTTCCCAAATGAAGTGGTAAGGTACATAACACTAATACAAAAAGATGTTGTTGCAGATACATCTTGGCTTATAATAAAAAGCATATCTTTATTTCTACAAGTACATGTACAAGGTATACAGGCCTAGCTGACATCAATGACATACTACTATATAGAAAGCCGCTGGTTATGCAGATTAGGTCAGTTTTGTCCCAGGATGCGACCCACACCAGTCGACTAACACCCAGGTACCCATTTTACTGATGGGGAGCATAGACAACCAGTGTAAAGAAACATGCCCAATGTTTCTACCTTTGCCAGGAATCGAATCCAGACTTTTGCCGTGTGAAGCGAGAGCTTTAGCCGCCAGGTCACAGGGCCACCTAATAGATTCAATTTGTCCATCCTTTCATTATTGTATATGACAGCATGTACATAGTGTATCCTTAGTTTAACCCTTTGACTGTTTCGGCCGTATATATACGTCTTATGAGCCAGTGTGTCAGACTTATATCTACATACTCAATAATTCTAGCGGCTTCAAATCAAGCAGGAGAAAGCTGGTAGGCCCACGTGTGAGAGAATGGGTCTGTATGGTCAGTGTGCACCATATAAAAAAAATCCTGCAGCACGCAGTGCATAATGACGGAAAAAAAACTCTCCCGTTTTTTTTTTTTTTTTTAATTAAAATGCCGAATTTGTGGTCTATTTTCGTATAGTATTTATGATTGTATTCTCGTTTTCTTGGTCTCAATTGGTAGAATGGAAAACATATTATAGAATTAGAGGTGATTTTGATTGGTTTTACTATGAAAAGAACCTTGAAATGGTGCTCAAAGTAAGGGAAATGTTTGATTTTTGCCAATGTTCAAAAGTAAACAAATGATGTCATTGTCCAATAAATGTCCAAGTAGCCATTCTAATATGCAGTCATGAATGGGTTGACATTATTTATACAATTATTACAATACTGCATAACAGTAAATCTTCAAATTTTTGTTTGAATAAAAATTCAAAATAGAAAGCAAGAGTAATATCAGAGGAGCCTGGAGACATGACTGATGAACAAAGAAAATGTTATTTTAGAGCCAGAAATGTCTGCATTGCTCATTCTGGACCCTATTTTGAAATTGTCATATTTTTTAATTTTCGTGAAATTGGCCAAATTGCAAATTTCGACCACATTATTGGGTAGTTGAAATCAGTAAATGGGCAGTTTCCTGTACTCAGTTGATAGAAGAAATGGAGTTCTAAAGAAATAGCTATGAGTTTGATCAACTGGAACAATGGAATTAGCCGAAAATAGGGCTCAAAGTGGGCGAAATCGCCAATTCATCAATATCGCCGAGGTCGCTAACTTTGTGAGAACGTAATTCCATCAGTTTTCCATCAAATTTCGTTCTTTTGGTGTCGTTACAATCGGGAAAAGATTCTCTATCATTTCATAAGATTTTTTTTTTCAGAAATTTTGCGACACCTGGAGACACCTCAGGATTTGGGGTTGCAACAGCCAAGGGGTTAATGGACTAAAGTTGGCCATTAAATCTGAATTATAAGGACATTTTCCAT